CACACTGGAGCTGTTTGACTTCCCCGTGGTAACTGGATGCTGTGGCAAGACTTTCTCGTCTGAAGGATTACGACAAGCGATCAGGCAGAACCCTCTGTGTCCGTTTTGCCGTGGCCAACTATTCTCGACTCACCCAAACCGTGACGTGGCGAAACTCGTGGAGATTCACCGACGAGAGCGCTCGGTTCTCAGTATAACAGATTCGGACACGTCTAGTTCTTCAGTTTCTACGCCTCAAATAAATGAACAAACTACAGTAGTGTCAACGACTAGTAGTCGACGTAGCACTGGAAGCACACGTCAAAGCCGACACCGAGAAAATCGAAGCGACAGAGTCCAAGCGAGATCCCAGGTTCCCCGCCGCAGGTCGACAGCAGTCCGTAGTACTCAAGGAAATGCTGTGTCTTATGCAACGGCAGTTACTGCGACGAGCTCACCGTCACAGCCGCAAGACAGATCTATCACTCCAGGTGGTCTTTACATCTCTACAGCTGGCAGTGATACGCCGGCATTTCGCGTCCCGCCTCATATGGTACGGTCTGTCTTAGCGTCAAAACGTTTTCCAAGCGCTCGGTCACAGGCCTCCGCCACTACCCGTCGTCAACGCTCAAGAGCTGCCACTAAAGCTACGTCTACGGCTTCATCAACGACTACATCTGCCTCCCGTCGTCGAGCAGCTAGTGCTGTATCAAGCGCTGTACCTAGTGCCACAGCTACCGTATCAAATTCAGTTGCTCCTGCGTCGCAGAACACGAGACGTACGAGACGTTCTACTAGAGCCGCGCGTAACACTTCAGATGTTTGTGTACCTACAAGTGCTGTATCTATTGGAGCAAGCTCAGCTGAAGTGAAGTTTACTCCTCCTGCAAGTGCAGCTGATGATGTTATAGCGAATTCGAGGAATAGCCAACGGTCAAGGCCAAGTGGGAGTTCAAGCTCTGGACAAGGTGCTGTATTGAGTATTGCCACGACTGCTACGTCCACTACTTCAACAACTGCGTCAAGTCAACCGATACGGATTTCAGCCTCTCAAGACGACTCGGCACTTGGTCATGAACGCCACGACTCTCCTCGCCTAACAGCAAGTCAGCCTACACCTCGCCAGCCGTTGCGCACTCTTGCACTAAGTATTACTTCGTTGCAGGATCTCCTGGGCTCGGATTTTGAATCTGACTCAGATTCGTAGAGTTCTAGATAAGTTTTAATCGTTCTAAGTGTCACAGTAAGAAGATTTAGCAGGGTACAGGATAGCTTTCTGCTGTCCTACACTTGCAAGGCTGCTCTGAAATCATTGTTCGGGGTCAGAAACAACCAGGAATGGCATCTACAAAGCTGAAATCTTCTTTTTCTTGTAAGAGCCTGTTCGTATTGTACTGGAGATGAAGATTGGCGACTACCGTACCTCACAAGATAAATGCTTTGGCACAATTCCAAACTGCTCTCGTCTTAACGTTAAGACACCGATTTTTTCTATTTTTGTGTTAAGATTTGGTGGAAATTCTCATTGGTCAAAAATCAACCGGGACGACATTTCTCAACGCAGTAAATGAACTGATATATTGATATTAAGTTTTCTCTCAGTTAAAATCTTCCATGGATTGGTTCTAAATGAGCGCACTATATAGACTGTTGTCCTTAAGTCGGGCGATGTGCTTTTGAAAGAATTCTGTGTTTGCTGTACGCGGGCCTTGACCAAGTATTTTGAGCAAGTATTTTGAGCAAGTACTTCATCTTACGATTTTGGCTTTGGTCTTCGTTTATAGCCGACATAGCTTCCTCATTCGTTGTACTTTCCATCAGGAGGGGTCGACTGTTTGAATTTCCAGCACAGAAATCATTTCTTTTTGTCGGTAAGAGATCGGTTTGCATACAGATCACTATTCGGATTGAGCTTGAGCGCGGTTTATCTGTGTTCGCGCCTCTTGTACTATCAGTCACCACTCGTTCGACTTGTTCTGGGGCAAAACATTCTTGATGAAGACGAGAAAATTACTTGGCAAATAGTTTGGTGGTTGTAAGTTGTCTCTCTTTCAGCCTAAACAGTGACAGATAGTAACGGCTTAAATTGCAATGACAACACTGGGCGCGTCGCTCGTCCGAACTGTGGAGACAGATGCAGAGAGCGTGGCGAGAGTGACAGTGCGCGTTGCTCTCGAGAGGAGCGGTGACGATTACGAGGTGATCGGCCCCAGAAAGGCGCGGGGTTCATACAGTTGGGATATGCTGCGTGATATTGCAGCTGCTGAGCTTGCAGAGTTCCAAGACTTAAAGCTTTGCTGCAGGCGAGTGTGACACACTGACACAGCAAGACCGTGCCGACTCTGCGAATGAATCGAGCGCGTAATGACAAAGAAGATACTGCGTTGTCGGGGGAAGACATGCAAGTTGTATAGATCACGCATATTTGGATGGAAAGTGCGGTTGAGTGAACAATCGAATGGATGCCATATTTTACAATATGATTGATTATGGTCGCGACGAATCCGTTCACTGTGACGGCTGCACAAAGCTGCTATAATTGCAGAAATGAAGAAATTTATTCTTCAGTAAGACGAGTGTGCAGTTTCACCCCAGCTCATTTGGAGGCATGCATCGTCCGGAGATCGTACAGCTAAAGCGAGGGTACCCTACACTGACACAAGTGAACAAACTGCGCCAAGTGCCTGCGTTGTTTTCAAG